ATATATATATATATATAATTGATGAGTAGTATTTTTAAAATATATTAATTAAGAAAATAGAATAAAATTTATTAAATTAGATCCAAATGATCTTTTAATATAAACAATAGTTTTTAAATCTTGCCCCAACCCTTAACATCTTATGGCAACATGATTAGGGTTGTAAAATTGACTCTTTGTTTGCGAATAACTCGTGTTTGACTCTCTAAGCAAACAAGTCGAACACGAAAACACTTTTTGAGCTCGAAATACAAACGAGGTGAACATGAGCTGAGCCTAAGCTGGCTCGTGTTCGGCTCGTTTAGATCCTTAATCGTAATACCTCCCGACGCCTGAAATGAACTTTTCAACAACTGAAATCTATTATACAAACAAAAGTATCTATATTCAGTTAGAGCGGACATGCATTAACATTAAAAAAGTTTAGCTTGTCAATTACATGGTGTTGAACTCACTTTTGTGAGGACTCACCCCACCTACTTGCACATGACCCTCGACTAGGGTTATGCCTTTCTTAGGCCCCACCATTGCAGGCCCAAGCCCTCAACCCTTGGTTGAGTGGGTTTAAGGTTTTGACATGGTGAGGAATCTTAATTGACCCCTCATGATAAAATCAACCCAAATCCCTATGGGGCCTTCATATGAACCCTAAGAACCACCTTGACCATGAAATACACCTTGGGAGAAGGGTCTACCTAAAATGATTCCTAACCTCAGCAATGGCCTCCATATCCCCACCAAACCCTAAAAATCACCCTAATCCTTAATACGTCATTTTGACCCTAAAATTTGGTGGCACCTTGGGGTGGTCAAAACCAATTGGAATTACTCTAATTTTGGTCAAATCTTGATCGATTGACTGCATCCCCATCTAATTAAGCCTCACCCAACATGGCCATGACACCACACCATATGGTGGACCCAATTGGCACCATGTGGTCAACCATCGTAATTCACTTAATTAATTAATGAATAAATTAAAAGAATTTTTAAATTCCATCAGGGAGAGAAAACCCAACCCATTTAACCAAAATCCAAAACCCTAAAAAAAGAAAAACCAAATCAACCCTGGCCCATGACCTATTCCTAATGGGTCACCCATAACCCAATACCTATCTACTATGATATATGGCTGACACACCAAGCCAAACCAGGCTAAATCCAACCCTTAATTGGTGAGCTTGGCACCATCCACCATGACTCTCCAAGGGGATGGGGACACATGTTACCTATCCCAAGCCTCCTTGGACAAAATCTTGAGGGTCAAGCCAGATCAAATCTGATCTGTGTTATCCTCCTTAAGGACCTCCAATCAGCTCAGAGCTTACTCCCATGCCCCCCTCACCTCCATGATCAGCCCCATGATCAAGCTGTCATGAAAACGTGAAAAGCTTCTCTCCACTGCCCAAAACCCTCTAAAATCTCTGTGAGGAGCCGCCCAAGCTTTGTCAATTATAGCTAAGCTCCCCTATGGCCTCACATGACTACTTAAGGAAGGAACCTGAGAGCCTCTACACATGCCCAAACTCCATATTAAGCCTCCGAAACCTTTGCCTCTCAATAGAGAAAGGATTCCCCTTGACCTAGGCGATTGATCCCCTCTCTCCTCAGGCCTCCGCCGCCACTAGCAACCCCTGATTTTTCTGCCCTAATCCAAGACAATTTTTGGCCTTGACATAACTATTCCAAAGCTCAAGCACAAACCCCCCAAAAGCTTCCCCGAGCCTCAAGACAATCTCACCAATCAAAATTAAGGCTTCACATCCTTTCCAACCTATTTCAACATTAAGTCTATCTCATAGCTAGGACCAATTTTAGCTCAAATTGAAACAAGCAGGAAGTTCGTGACATCAAAGCGAAGCTCTCTGTCAAGCTCAATTGAGACCACACCTCTTGGGACAAGGTATGGGTCAAAATCCCTAAAATTAGCCTCTCTAGTTTGGTCTTTCACAAAAGAAATGAACACTTGATTCTCATTCATCAGTCTAGATAGGTTTGTCTAACTTAAATGAAGTTAATAGCTTGATTTAATTTTTATTGTTCGAATAAGCTTGTTTTTAGCTCATTTAATTATTTGATGAGCTTGTTTGAATAATAGAAATGTTCATTTAATTTTCTATCAAGCAAAATTTCCAACTTTCACCAGGGTGAGCACCGCAGAAATTCCTTATTTTTTCAGCCTCTTTTATAGATATGAACTTCAACAATTACCGGTGTGGGACTAAAGCGTGGCATGGGCGCTGGATCTTTTATGGGAACACAGTTAAGTATTTTAGGATATTTCGTACTTACATATCATACTTCATAAAGCCCATTTCTTATCTATTTTTTAGTAATATTGAATGTGCAAGTAGATTTTTAGGAGAATTTAAGTGCATACCACCCAAATCCAATGTATTTAGATATTTAACATCTAACACCTAAAATTAAGGTGCAAAGGATTTTAGAAATATTTACATACATAGCAGCCAATTTTTTCTGTATTGACATTTTTAACACCTGAAATTATATTATTTATAATTATATCCACTAAACAATTTTTAAAAAATAACTAAATTTGGCATTTTAAAGACATTATAAATATAAATATAAATAAATAAATAAATATATTATTATTTAATTATTTCAAGTCAAAACTACTCGAATCAGAACATACAAACCTTAATTTGTGTTTGACATATTTATAAATCAAGAAAAAAAATAAAAAATTTGGTCTACTTCAAGCATCAAATGTTGCATATCATACATTCATACATTCATCAAATGTTACGAACTCATTTGATGCTTGAAGTAGACCAAAATTTACAGAAGCCTAGGCGCTGGATCTTTTTTGGGAACACAGTTAAGTATTTTAGGATATTTCGTACTTACATATCATACATTCATAAAGCCCATTTCTTATCTATTTTTTAGTAATATTGAATGTGCAAGTAGATTTTTAGGAGAATTTAAGTGCATACCACCCAAATCCAATGTATTTAGATATTTAACATCTAACACCTAAAATTAAGGTGCAAAGGATTTTAGAAATATTTACATACATAGCAGACAATTTTTCTGTATTTACATATTTAACACCTGAAATTATATTATTTATAATTATATCCACTAAACAATTTTTAAAAAATAACTAAATTTGGCATTTTAAAGACATTATAAATATAAATATAAATAAATAAATAAATATATTATTATTTAATTATTTCAAGTCAAAACTAATCTAATCAGAACAGACAAAGCTTAGTTTGTGTTTGACATATTTATGAATCAAGAAAAAAAATATATTTGTATTCGACTAGCTTGCATAACCAACAGATCAAATACAAACTACACAACGAATCGAGCACAAACAGACAAACATTAGTTCACATTCAACTGATTTATAAATCAAGAAGCTAAAATAAATTATTCATATTCGATAAATTTATGTAGCTAACGAATCAAATAAACATTATTTAAGGAATTGGGCATAAATTATTCCTAACCTATATGGACAGCACGACATAACACCATGAACCACATTATCATGGAGTGGGTGATGTGGCATGATGTGAGTGGCATATTGGAGATGTGGAGGCAATACTTTTATAACATCTTAGGTATCATAAATATTTTAACTCACAAAATCCAATAAAACTTTTTAGAAAAAGAGATTTTTTGTGAATATTGTTGATCAAAAACCAGGCGGCATCCTGTCATCAAGCTCACACAGCGGCGACAAAGGACCATAAATGTCATCATTCTCCTCTACACCATTGTCCTCCTCAGCCGCCGCCGCCGCCGATGAATCCATTTCAGCTCGAATTTGATCTCCCACGACGTCGGAGCCCATCAAATTTTGATCAGGAAAATTGAGTTTAGCCTCTAAGCCGTGGAACCTGATCGCGGCCTGGTCGTAAGCCCGCGCGGCTTCCTCGGCGGTTAAGAAAGTCCCCAACCACTCGCGACGATCTTGCTTCGGAACTCGAATCTCCGCCGACCATTTACCCGGCCGGCGTTGCCGCACACCACGATACTTCCTCGTCTTCTGTGTGTCGCCCTCCGGCGCGGCGGAGGACGATGATTCTGCTGAATGCCGGCAGTCAGAGCTGTGGCTGTGGTGGTGCTCTAAGTTTGAGGGGGCAGCGCCATCGGGATAGCCGGAGATGACGCTGATGTAGGCGGCGACGATGGTGGAGTTTTCTTGTTCATGGCAGCGGGGGCAGATTAAACGATGCATGGGGTGGAGGGAGGGAGGGGGTGGTAAAAGTGCCGACTTGAGGGGTGGCGGGAGGAGGAGATGTGGAAGTTGGGCTTTTAAGCTGCGCGAAACGTGGACTATTATTTTTGCGGCTTCTGACTTTAGTCCTAGGAGACAACTTTAGCATTCAGATATTTTGGGGATCAACGGGAAAGGACAAAGTTGGAATAAGATGTAAAAATACGTCGAATGGCATATAGGAGAGGTCTACTTCAAGCATCAAATGTTGCAAGTTCCGAAGTGTAGTTCACATGGACAAGTTTCCTTCATTTTTTTTTTTTTTTTTGGCTAAAAGTGAGATTCTAGCATACCTTTCACAAGGGAAGAGTTAGACTGAGCTTCTGTAAATTTTTTCGATTGTAACGAGAAGATCTAAGTGCATTTTCTTAGAATTTTTTAGTTTATAATTAAAATTTTTCGGCATTGTGGCTCTGTGGTTCTTCTCATTTTTGGGTTTTTCTATGTAAAATCGTTGTGTGCTTTTCTAGATTATCTTTGTTGGGCTTATGTTCATATTGTGTTCCGATGAATCTATATGATCCTATTATATGATGTGATTTAGTTTCTAATTGGACTTAAGTTGTAGTAAAGTAAGTGGAATATTCATTCCTAACATCTTGGAAGGAATTTTAGTAATTTTATGGGTGAGTTATGAGTTCAATGTCTTTTTAGTCCATACATCCTATTGATTAGATGGCTTAATTTCATCTTTTTTATTTAGATTTTGTTTATGTCAGACATTTCTTTTTGTTTTATTATTGTTCTGTTTATTGTTTTGCAGATCCAATATCATTTGTTTGATAGAGATGGTGATTAGAGGATAATTGTGGTCGTCACTTTAGATTACTTATTGTTCAACTTACAAATACACTGTTGTTCAAGTTGAGTGTTTAACATTTGCTCTTTTGTTGTTTTAGATTCTCTGGGCTATTCAATATTAATAATGTTTTATTTAGTCATTTTCTTCTTTTAGATGTGTTTTTTCTTAGTTTATTTTTTTTGTAGTCGTTGTTTCTTTGCATTCTTTTCTTCGTTAAAGTTAAACGTGACCCTTATTTAAGAAAAAAAAAACATTAAATAATAAATAAATAAATAAATACAAGCTATCATTTGTTTTATTTTTGGGTTAGTCTACTTTATTAAATTTCATATCTAAATTTTAATATTACATATACATCACCCAAATGTTCTCCTCAGTTCATCTTCTTACCACTCCATTAATTCACCATTCGAAATAATCTTCCAAGAGACCGCGTCGTAGCTTGCAAAAATCTCTGAAACTCCCATCTTTCACCTCCTTTGGTCCGACCGCCACGAGATTGTGGCCTATGAAGCCCTGCGAAATCACCGTGAAATAAAACGGAATGATAAATATAAAACCCTTTTTCTAATTTAAAAGTTCATATTTGTGAAAATGAGCAAAAATACATACATTTTTAATATTTTTCTTAACTTTAGTATTCGCTGATCAAATTTTAGTTGATAAATATTTAATGAACACTAATTAATATATGAAGATTTCTATATAAATTCATTATAGAATGAAAATATTCAATAGAAATATTAATCTAACTTAAATTAAGTTCATTCATACACTTAAAACTCAAATTTTAAAGCTTGCTTCAATATTAAAAATTTACTCTTTTTGGTTCCTACACGTGTTAAATGTGTGCGGCTGAGATGTGGCGGTGAGATATTGGCTGCAGTTCCCAGTTGAAGCAAAACTCTTATTAGGTGCCCTAAAAGAAAGTCTTTTACATCCAGCCGCAAAATAAGTCCAGCCGCAATAAGAGTTGACCATTTAGTCAGAAGGGTATGTTTATAATAGCTATATTATATCACTAATAATACCTAAAATATTATCATTTGCACCTCATTTGAACATGCATTAATAAAAAAAGGGGCATTTACACACATACCACCCAATTTCTATTTATCACCTAGACTTCAATTTTTACACCTTACCACCCAAAATTTTCGCATATCTCAGCAAAAATATCACTTTTTAAACTTTTAGAAACTGGAATATACATTTTTATTGCATAGAAAAGGTGTCATGTATGAAAAAATTGAAGTTTAGGTGCTGCATATGTAAATAAATATGAATTATGTGTGGAAAGTATGTAAATCTTCCTAAAAATTCAAGTAATGTTGAACTCAGAATTGTTATTTAGTTATGTATTACATATTCACATTAATTTTAAATTAAAAGTACGAAAAATTTATTTTCCCAACAAATGCCAGCTCAATTAGTACGAGGGAAAATTGACGCTTGCGAAATCCTTTCCGCGGCTTTGATTGGCTTTCATACCGCGTGTTGTCTGCTCCGCGAATCAGCTCCGCGGAAAGAATTCGCCTCATTGCCGCTTAGTTTCTTTTCGGTTTCATCAATCATTATCATTAAATTAATAACTACCATCATTACATAGCAAAGAAGTATCATACGAAACAACAATTGCAGAGTATTTTTTGGAGCGGCAAATCATTCAAAATGTCGTGATAACCTCGAAAATGGTATGCCAAAGCTCCAACAACTACTCGTTGTTACGACCGCTATATTTGCGGGGGCAACGGGCTTTTATGTACGGAGATAGGTGGTTGTAACTCAAGAAACAGTGTAACTATTTCCTGTTTGTGGGATAAGGATTTGTACGTGTAATCATCAACTCATAGTAGATCGTTTCAACTGGACTTGCTCACTGGTTTTTAAATTTCACAACAAGTTAAATAAGTAATTTTGCTTTACATGTGCAGATTTCTTGATGCTCGAGTATTTGCATGTTATATTTGGATCTCAAATGAAAATTCACTGATTTTCTTCGAATGTTTATATATTCACATGTATAACATGTAATTCTGAAGACATATTATAAACAGTGGTATAAATTCAAATTATGTGTAAACCCTTATCAAATTTTACATGTGAATATATAGAATTTGTCGGCCGTTATTTTTATATTTTTTTGGAAGTAATATAGATTTAATTTAATATATATAAAAAAAATTTAATTTTAGGAAAAAATATTTTAATTTTAAAAAGTAATGTTTTAATTTTGAAAAATACGAGACCGGACTGATCTCATATATTTGATAGTTTGAATTATACGAGCACCACCACCAAACAATGCATTTATCTAAAAAGGTAGACACATCATTTGAATAGTGATGCTCGATTAAATAAACTAAGGAGTTTATGACATCCGTTTGGTTTGCGATATCATTTTTTTTTTATAAGTCGACAAGTTCCTTTATGTAATATGGAAAATTAATAAGGATTTATATTAAGTTTGGTTCTTAAGTTCCCTATATAGACAAACCCCTAAAGTTAATTACATCTTAAATGACCGAAGTCAGAAAAGAATACTCTCGATTAAGATCTGTGGTTTTGTTTTCAAGAATTTCAAAGTCCAAGTTTTCAAGGATGGACACAGAAAATTTAAAAGGGAACGACTCAAATTAGGAACATATTATTTTAGGAGTGAAAGGAACGAAGAAGTAGGGGGTGTCACAGACTTTGAGAAAAACCTCAAATGACTTACCAACTATCATATTTGTTTGGTTTTAATTTCTAGAAAATATTATTTGATGTTTCATCCTATTATTTTTATTTTTTAGGGTTTATATTTATATGATACGGTCATACAAATGACCTGGAAGATACAGAGATTTATGTCGTACCGGACGACGACCTCGAAGCCTAAAGCGAGTTAGGGCTTAGGAGATTTATGTCGTACCGGACGACGGCCTCGAAGCCTAAAGCGAGTTATGGCTTATATTGCACAATATGGTTGTGCAAATGCCTAAAAGATAATGCAAGGATTTATCTCGTGCTAGGCAGACCATCTCAAAATCCTAAGACTTGTTATTTAAACTAAAGAAAAGTTTTACTGATGTAGACATATTATGTTGCTTCTCCGTCGTGCTGCCCACGAGAACTTGTTCTAAGCTCCAAACCTCTCGTTGTAACGATTGCAAATTTTGGGTTAGGTTTGAGTTACATGCAATTGTTGGGTCAGTGGCCTACCACTGTGCACCTCCTGTAAAACCAGGTTACTATTCTTCTATTTTAAAATGTATAATACACATAAATAAAAGAAAAGTTGGAGATGCAGTAAATAGTGCAATAAGGAAAACAACAGTAAGGAAATGACAGTAAAATATATAGTAAATAAGAGCAGTATAATGTATAATAAAGATAATAAAATGTTGTAAATATAAAATAAATTTGTGTACCTAGCGAGTCTGGGATTAGCATTGCAGGTAGAAGTAAACAAGTTAATAGAGAATTTAACTAGCAGGAGAAACATGCATATATATGTGTGTAAAGTCCCACGGCAAAACATCTCACGGAAAACTCCAAGAAAACCGCAAGTGACTCACAAAATAAACTCGAAGAAATCTGGAAGGAAACACAGGGAAAACCCTAAGGAAATAACAAGTGAAAAATAAAAGGCGATGTGAACTATAAAAATTCAGGTTCGGGGTGGACTCAGACTTTAGCATTCTCGAGGGTTTTCGAAGGCAACCATGGTTCATCCGCGTGTATAAAGCCCGACATTCAACTAAAAATTTCCAACAAGACAATCTTTAGGAGGGCAATCCTTAGCCCAATACAAGTAATTGACAAATGGACAATCTAATTGTTTTACTTGAAGTTTATATTTTGTCATGCATATAAGCTTCATTTTTAAACATATTATGGAGCTAGTAAAATTTCAAATTTCACAACTTATTATAGGCAATGATATATACCAATAGACACAAGTAATAATGAAATATACGAGTAAAATAAATCTACACATATCAAAAAGTAAAATTTACAAAATCAATTTTATGAATGTTCAGAAAAATATTTAAAGTATTTCTATCAGATTCAACGCGCGTGCTAAATATACAAAATATTGTACAACAAAAAGTACCTTTCAGAAAATAAATATTTTATGTCAATATGTCCAACACATTATAATCTAAAACATATAAAATGTTTTGCTATGAAAATTTCGTAAATTT